CCCTTTATTAATGAAAGCTAACACACCATATGCCTTCTTAACAACTCTATCCACTTGGGTGGCAGCTTTCAGGGAACTGTGGACATGAACCCCAAGATTCCTCTGCTCCTCCACACTGCCAAGAATCTTTCGGTTAACCCTGTATTCTGCTTTCAAGTTTGTCCTACCAAAATGAATCACCTCACACTTTTCAGGGTTAAACTCCATCTGTCACTTCTCAGCCCAGCTCTGCATCCTATCAATGTCCTTTTGTAACCTAGAACAGCCCTCCGCATATCCACAACTCGACCCACCTTCGTATTGATAGGCTGGGACTTTCTTCGCTGGAGCATAGGAAGTTGAGAAGTGACTTTATAGAGATTCATAAAATCATGTGGGGTATAGATAGGATTAATGGTAGGTGTCTTTTCCCTAGGATGGGAGCTTTCAAGACCAGGGGGCATATCTTTAAGGTGAAAGGAGAGATTTAAAAAAGACATAAGAGGCAAATATTTTACACAGTGGGTGGTTCACGCGTGGAATGACCTTTCGGAGGACGTGATGGATGCAGGCACAGCTACAAATTTTAAAATTCACTTAGATAGAAAAGAAAAGATTTGGAGGGTTAGGGGCCAGGAAGAGGCAGTTGGGACTTAACTAGTTTGGGATTATGTTCAGCATGGACTGATTGAACTGAAGGTTCTGTTTTGTACTATATGATTCTGTGACCTCCTCCTTTCTTGTATTGATATGCCTTAGAATATCAATGTACCCCTCTCTAGACTCATCATCCACCATGTCTTTCTCCTTTGTGAATACCAATGCAAAGTATTTATTATGGACATCACACACTTCCTCTAGCTCTAAGCATAAACTCCCTCCTTTCCCCTTGAGTCGACCTACCCTTTCCCTACCTACCCCCTTGCTCTTTATACACATGTAAAACGCCTTGGGATTTTCCTTAGTATTGTTTGCCAAGGTCCTTTATAGCCATAGAACATAGATCATAGGACTGTACAGCACAGGAACGGTCCTTCGGCCCGCGATGTTGTGCCGAACATGACGCCAAATGAAACTAATCCCTTCTGCCTGCCCTTGGTCCAAATCCCTCCATTCTTTGCATATTCATGTGCTTATCTAAAAGTCCCTTAAATGCCCCTATCATATTTGCCTCCACCATCACCCCTGGCAATGCGTTCCAGACTGCTACCACTCTCTGTGTAAAAAAAAAAACCTGCCCCTCATGTCTCCTTTGAACTTTCCCCCTCTAACCTTAAATGCATGCCCCCTAGTATTAGACATTTCAACTCTGGGGAAAAGTATTCTGACAGTCAAGCCTATCTGTGCATCTCATAATTTTATAAACTTCTATCAAGTCTGCCCTCAGTCTCCACCACTCAAGAGAACACAACCCAAGTTTTTCTAGCCTCTCCTTGCAGCTCATACCTGCTAGTCCAGGCAGCATCCTGGTAAACCTCACTGCACCCTGTCCAAAGCTTCCACATGCTTTCTGTAACTTCTAACTCTTCTAGCCCTTCTAACACCTTAAGTTTTTTCCTGCCGTCTTTATACTCTTCAAGAGCTCTGTTTGTCTCCAGTTTCCTAAAACTTACGTATGCCTCCTTTTTCTTTTTGACTAAACTCTCAATTTCTCTTGTTATCCAAGGTTCCCAAATCTTGCCATTCTTATCCTTTATTTTCACAGAGACTTGCTGGTCCTGAACTCTATCTAACCCTTTAAAAGATTCCCGCATACCAGATGTAGATTTTCCCTCAACCAGCTGCCCCAGTCTACATACCCCAGTTCCTGCCTGATATTGTCAGAGTTAGCCTTCCCACAATATAGTACTTTCACCTGAGGATTACTTGTATCCTTATACATAAGTAAATAGTTGAGGCTCCAGCAGTGTTCCTTATACAGGTTTCCATTTGTTGAGGTTTACCAGCTTGAAAATGATCAGTTAATCCAAAATTCTGTATCCTGTTAGTTGGCTGACCCTGTACCCATGCTGAAACAAAAACAGAAATTTCTGGAGTAACTCACCAGGTCTGGCGGCATCTGTGGGAAGTAAGCAGAGTTAACGTTTCAAGTCCAATGACTCTCTTCATCAGAACTGAACATCTGAAGAAGGGTCTAGGCCCGAAACGTCAGCCTTCCTGCTCCTCTGATGCTGCTTGGCCTGCTGTGTTCATCCAGCTCTACACTTTGTTATCTTTGATCAGCATGCATGCTGGTATATATCTGAATACCATAAGCCCTTGTCTTGTGAGGTAACCTTTCATATGACGCCTTATTGAAATGCCTTCTGGAAGTCTAAATAATCTACACCTCCTGGCTTTTCATTATAAGGCCATAAGACATTGGAGAAAATGTAGACCATTCAGCCCTTCAAGTCTGTAAAGGATTCTGTAGGGAAGAAAAATTATAACGTGCTAGAATTTCAAATTCAATTGGAAAGCAAAATGCTGGAGTCCTAGTTCAAGCATTCTGGTGTAAAACAAAGGTAATTACATAAGCATAAGGATAGATCTGGCCCTAGTGGTCTGGAGGAAAGACTAAAAGGTAGGACAGTTGATGAAGAGTAGCATATATTTAAAGAGGCACTCAGTTGCTCCTAATTAAAATACATTCCAGAAAGGAAGAAAGATTTGTAAGATAGGAAAAAGCATCCATGGCTATGGAAGGAAGTTACAGGTAATATAAGGACAAAAACTAAGGCATACCATATTGAAAATGCTGTTGGCAGACTGGAAGATTGGGAAATTTTTAAAAATCAACAAAGGGATACTAAAATAGTCATAGTAAGAGCAAAGGTAAATAATGAAAGAAAACTACCACAAAATACAAAAATGGATAGGCAAAGTCTCTTTGAGGAAATAAAAGGGAAGAGGGTGGCTAAAGTGAATATTGGCCCCATGGAAAACGGGACTGAGGAGTTAATAGTGGGGAACACAGAAATGTTAAGGTTACTAATTCAATACTTTGCTTTCGTTTTCACAGTGGAGGACATTAGTACTATCCCAATAGCAACAGTTAATGCAGAGGTCATAGAAAGGGAGGAACTTAGAACAATCATTGTCAATAGGAAAGTAGTACAAAGCAAACTATTGGGATTGAAGGCAGACAAGCCCTCATGCCTGATCACTAAATGGACCCATTGGTCATAATATTCCAAAATTTCCTGGATGCTAGAAAGATTCCAGGATTGGAAAAATACTAATATAACACCCTTATTCAAAAGAGAGAGCAGTTAGTTTAACATGTGCCATTCGCAAATTGTTAGAATCTATTAATAATGGAGCAATAAAGGGACATTGGGAAAGCCTAAATACAATCCATCAGAGTCAACACAGTTTTACAATCTTAAATCATGTTTGATTAATTTGCGAGAGCTCTTTGAAGATGTAATGTGGATCTTGTAGATGTATTATATTTGAACCACCAGAAGGCATTTGTTAAGGTATTGTTTGAAAGGTTAATACACAAGGTAAGATCATTTGGGGTTCAGGGTAGCTTGGATAGAGGATTGGCTATCGAACAGAGGGAAGAAAGTTGGGATACATGGGTCTTTTTCTGGTTGGCAAGGTATGAGTTTTTGTCTGCCAATAGTTCAGCCTGTGGGCTGCAACTACCTACAATCTACATTAATTACTTGGAGGCAAATTAGAAAGCACCTAGCCAAATTTGCAAATGACACTAAAATAGGTGGGAAAGTAAGTCACAATGAAGAAATAAGAAATTTGCAAATGAATATTGATAGTTCAGGTGAAAGGGCCAAAATTTGGCAGATGAATTTTAATGTGGATAAATGTGATGTTATTTATTTTAGGCAGAGAAATAGAATGGGAACTTATTATCTAAATGGAGAGAAACTTTGGAGTATTTTGGTGCAGATAAATCTGGTTGTTCTCACATATGAGTCTCAGAAAATTAGTATGCATGTACTTAAGATGATAAGGAAGTCAAATGGAAATTAATGTTTTTTTGTAAGGAATAGAGTATAAAAGTAGGGAAGTCCTACTGCAACTGCACAAGGCATTAGAACATAGAATATAGAACAGAACAGCACAGTACATACCCTTCGGCCCACGATGTTGTGCCGAACTTTTACCCTAATCCTAAGGTCCATCTAACCTCCACCCCTACCTTATACTATCATCCATATGCCTATCTAATAGCCGCTTAAATGCCCCTAATGAGGCTGACTCCACTACCCTCTCCGGCAATGCATTCCACGCCCTGACCACTCTCTGAGTAAAGAATCTATCTCTGACGTCTCCCCTATATCTACCTCCACTCACTTTAAAACTATGCCCCCTCGTAATAGCTACCTCCATCCTCGGAAAAAGTCTCTGGCTGTCTACTCTATATATACCTCTGATCATTTTGTACATCTCTATCAAGTCACCTCTCATCCTTCATCGTTCTAGGATTAGTGAGACTGTACCTGCAATATTGTGTAACGTTTTGGTCCCCTTATTTGAGGAGGGGTGGATATGCATTGAACGCAGTTCAGAGGCGGTTTGCTAGATTGATTCCAGAAATGAGGGGTTTGTCTTATGATTAGAGATTGTGCAGTTTAAGGATATATCTTCTGGAGTATAGAAGAATAAGAGTTGATCTAATTGAAGTATACGAGATTCTAATGGGGACTGACAAAGTAGATGTAGAAAGAATATTTCCTTATGTGGGGCAGTCTACATTGAGATGTCATAGTTTTAGAATAAGTGATGGCAGATTTAAAAATGGGGTGAAGAGAAATTACTTTTCCCCAAAAATCATGAATCTGTGGAATTTACAATCCTGAGTGGTAGTGGATGCTGGGACATTGAGTAACTATAAGGGGGAGATAGATAGATTTTAAATTAATAGGTAGTTGAAGGATTATGGAGAGCAGGCAGGAGAATGGAGCTGAAACCAGGACAACAACGGGTATGATCGTATCAAAATGGCGGGGCATACTCGAGGGGCTGAATTGCTTACTCCTGCTTATAGTTGTTATGTTTTTGGACAGGACAAACAAGACAAGGGAAAATGTGATGAATGGCAGAACCCTGGAAGCACCGAGGATCAGAAGAACCTTGGTGTGCACGAAGACCAGTCCTTTTAGCAGGACAGGTAGATAAAGCGGTTCAGAAAGCATATGGACTTGTCTTCATTAGCTGAAGCATAAAGTGTAAGAGCAGGAAGGTTGTGTTGGAGCTGTGTAAAAAGTTGGTTAGGCCACATCTAGAATATTATGTGCAGCTCTCGAATCCACATTATAGAAAAGGGTGCACAGAAACATAAAAGATAGGAGCAGGAGTAGGCCATTTGACCCCTTGGGCCTGCTGTACCATTCAAGATGATCACAGTGGATCATCAAGCTCAATACTCTGATCTCATCTTCCCCCTATCCCTTGAACCCTTGAGCCACAAGAGCTATATCTACCAACTTCTTGAAAACACATAACATTTTGGCCTAAATCTCTTTCTGTGGCAGTGAATACTGCAGGCTCACCATTGTCTAAGTGAAGAAATTTCTCCTCTCAGTCCTAAAAGTTCCTGCATCTAATTTGTCTAGTCCTTTTCAAATTTAACAGGTTTCTATAAGATCCCTCCTAAATCTTCTAAACTTCTATGAATATCATCCTAACCAACTCAATCTGTCCCTCATATATCAGTCCTGCCATCCCAGGAATCAATTTTGTAAACTTTCGCTGCACTCCCTCCATTGCAAGAACATCCTTTCTCAGATTAGGAGACCAAAACTGCACACAATATTCCTGATGAGGCCTTACTGATAACTTGCATAATTGCAGCAAGCCTCCTTGTTCCTGTATTCAAATCCTCTTGCTATGAAGGGCAATATACAGTTTGCCTTCTTTACTGCCTACTGCACCTGCACGCTTACTTTTAGTGACTGGTGAGTGAGGCCACATAGGTGTTGGTGAACATTCCCCTCTCTCAATTTACAGCTGTTCAATTAAAAATTTGCCTCCCTATCTTTGCTACCAAAGTGGATAACCTCACAGTTATCCAACTTATACTGCATCTACCCTACAGTTGCCCACTCAATCAGCCTGTCCAAATCACACGACACAATTCTTCATTACCTCACAGCCTACCCTTCAACCCAGCTCTATGTTATCTGCAAATCTTGAGATATTACGTTTAGTTTTCTTATCTAAATCATTAACATGTACTGTGAATAGCTGGGGTCCCAATACTGATCCCAGCAGTACCACACTAATACCCCTGCTATTCAGAAAATGACCCATTTATACCTCCTGAGATAGTAGGAACTGCAGATGCTGGAGAATCTGAGATAACAAGGTGTAGAGCTGGATGAACACGGCAGGCCAAGCAGCATCAGAGAAGCAGGAAGGCTGACGTTTCGGGCCAAACACTTCTTCAGGGTTTTCTATCCATCTCAATACACTTCCACTTATCCCACACGCTTTACTTTTACACGTTAATGTCTTATGTTGGACTTTGTTGAAAACCTTCTGAAAGTTCAAATAAACTGCATCCACTGGCTCCCCTGATTAGCTCAACCAATTACATCCTCAAGGAATTCCAGTGGCTTTGCCAACATTTTTTCCCCTTTTTAAATCCCTACTGGAAGTGTCTGATTCTATTACTGTTTTTGAAGCGCTTCGGTATAAAATTCGTGATAATGGACTCTAGCGTTTTCCCCGCTACTGATATTAGATTCACTCGTATATAATTCCTTGTTTTCTTCCACCTCCCTTTTTAAATAGTGGGGTTATATTAGCTACCCCCTAACCTGTAGGGACTGTTCCAGAATCTAAAGAATCTCAAAAGATGGCCACCAATGTGATAGCTATTTCTAGGACCACTTCCTGAAGTACTCTGGGAGATCAGGTCCTGCCTTCAATCAGATTCTTCAAGACATTTTGTCTACTAATATAGATTTGCTTCAGCTCCTACCTCTCACAAAACCTTGTGTTCCCCATCAGTTAACTTTTGATTATCAGGAAAATGATGGAATGTATCATCTGCTTAGCAATAACCTGCTCACTGACTTCCAGAGGTCAGTGCTGAATTCCAGAGGTAAGGTGAGAGTACCTGCCCTTGACATCAAGACTGCATTTGGTTGATCGTGACATCAAGAAGTCCTTGCACAACTGGAATCAATTGGCACCAGCGGGCAAATTCTCCACTTCTTCGAGTCACACCTAGCACATAGGATGATGGTTGTGGTTGTTGGACGTCAGTCATTTCAGCTCCAGGACATCTCTGTCAGATATTCATCAGGGTAGTGTCCTAGGCCCAAGCATCTTCAGCTGCTTCATCAATGACCTTCCCTTCAACATATGGTTAAAAATGGGAATGTTCAGTGATAATTGCACAGTATTCAACATCATTCGCAATGCCTCAGATGCTGAAGTGGTCCATGTTCAAATGCAACAAGATCTGTAAAGTATCCAGGCTTGGATTGACAAGTGGCAAGGAACATTTGCACCACACAACTACCAGCAATGACCATCTCCAATAAGAACAGGTCAACGGCTAGAAATTCTGTGGTGAGTAACTCACCTCCTCACTCCCCAAAGCCTGTCCACCATCTTAAAAAAGATCGAGAAGGACAAGGTTGGCAGATATATGAGAAGAGCACCACCTGCAAGTTGTCTCCCACCAGCAAGTTCTCCTCCAAGCCACTCACAATCTGACTTACAAATATATTATTGTTCCTTCACTATCAATGGGACAAAATCCTGGAATTCCTCCCTTCATTGTGGGTCAACCTACAGCACATGACTACAGCAGTTCAAGAAGAGAGCTCACCACCACTTCTGAAGGGCAGCTAGGGATGGGTAATAAATGCTGGCCAGCCAGCAACACCAACTTCCCACAAGCAAATAAAAGAAGAACCATTAACCATGTTCATTTTGTGAAGACGGAAGTGAAGTATGAATTTAGTTCATTTTGTTCTGCATTATAAATTCCCCATTCCTGACGACAAAGGACCTACATTAGTTCTTGAAATGACTCCACAAAAACCGATATCCCTTCACCAAGTCACCCTTTATTTACAAGTGCATCGTAAATGTCAGTGACCCAGCTAGCACACAGCTGGCTCCTAGAGTGAACAGAGCCCCTGCCACTCCTGTTTATATCTGTCAGCCTGGGATCCCTGATTGGGGTTGTTAACCTGGTCTAATCAGGGAGCCCTGGCTGTTGGAAATAAACAGGAGTGTCAGGGGTGCGGTTCACTCTTGAGGCCAGCTCTGTGCTCGCTGGGTCAGTGTTGTATACTGTGCTCATTGAAATAAAGGGTGATTTGGTGATGGGCTACTGGCCTTCGTGGAGTTATTTCAGTGGCGACAAGAGAAAAACATGCCCCTGAAGAGATTCACTCGCAACACTCATCTTTGAATTGGGTTAAGCATTTCTGGCACCAGGAAGCTCGACTCATGCGATCCTACTGTCGAAGACTGAGCCCATTATGTGGAAACAATGCATTTTTTTCCGGGCAAATGGCATTGGGGCAGACGAAAAGAAACAAGTAATTCTCTTGAGAGCATGTGGACTCACAGCTTTTTCAGATATTAGGAGCCTACCTTCCAGGAGGAGCCAGATACTAAAATCTAACAAGAGTTGACAGATTTAGCTAAGGAATATTACGACACCAAGCCTCCTCTAATTCTGACATGCTATCGGTTTTACTTGATAGTTTGAGAACCAGGGGAATTTGTATTGGGATTTTTGACGAGGCCAAGACGACTGTCAGAGGCATGTGATTTTGGTTTAACCCTAAGTGAGACGCTGAGAGACCGTGTGGTATGTGGGATTAACGATGTGACCATGCAAAAGCGCTTTTTAGCTGAAGCCCAATTGGACTTCAGACACACGTTACAACTGGCTTTGTTGTTAGAAACTGTGGCAAGTGAAGCTTACAAGTTACAGGATATGCCATTGGACGTGGACATTTTCACCAAACCGACTGAGCTTGGGGAACATAACGTGAGTGAAGACAATTGCATAACCTCAGTTGTAGGATGTGGAAGGTCAAGGTCACCACTAGTATCCCTGCTGATTTCACCTGCGAGAAGTGCACCCAATTCCAGCTCCTCTCAGGCCACGTTAGGGAACTGGAGCTGAAGCTGGATGAATTCTGGATCATTAGGGAGGCTAATGGGGGTGATAGAGAGGAGTTATAGGGAGGTAGTCACACCTAAGTTACATGATAAAGGTAGCTGGGTGACTGTCAGGAGAAGGAAAGGGAATAGACAGACAGTGCAGTAATAAGTATACTACGTTGGATACTGTTGGGGGGGGGATGACCTACCAGGGGAAAGCCATAGCAGCCAGGTCTCTGGCACTGAGCCTGGCTCTGTGGCTCAGAAGGGATGGGGGGAGAATAGGAGAGTGATAGTGATAGGAGAGTCATTGGTTAGGGGAACAGACAGGAGATTCTGTGATTGCGAACGAGACTCCTGGATGGTATGCTGCCTTCCAGGTGCCAGGGTCAGGGATATCTCGAATCCTGTAGACTCGATCCTTAAGGGGGAAGGTGAGCAGCCAGAAGTAGTGGTACACATCGGTATGAATGACATAACTAGGAAAAGCGATGAGGACCTGAAAAGTGAATATAGGGAGTTAGGTTGGAAGCTAAAAGGCAGGACGAGCAGTGGAACAGATTTTTTTGCAGCATCCTTGAGCACAGGTGAGGTCCCGGAGGCCTGGAGAATTGCTAATGTTGTCCCCTTGTTTAAGAAGGGTAGCAAGGATAATACAGGTAATTATAGACCGGTGAGCCTGATGTCAGTGGTGGGGAAGCTGCTGAGAAGATACTGAGGGATAGGATCTATTTACATTTGGAAGAAAATGGGCTTATTAGTGATAGGCAGCATGGTTTTGTGCAGGGAAGGTCATGTCTTACCAGCTTGATAGAATTCTTTGATGAAGTGACAAACTTGATAGATGAGGGAAGGGCTGTAGATGTCATATACATGGACTTCAGTAAGGCATTTGATAAGGTTCCCCATGGTAGGCTGATGAGAAAGTGAAGTCGCATGGGGTCCAGGGTGTACTAGTTAGATGGATAGAGAACTGGCTGGGCAAACAGGAGACAGAAAGTTGTAGTGGAAGGGAGTTTCTCAAAATGGAGAACTGTGACCAGTGGTGTTCCACAGGGATCCATGTTGGGACCACTGTTGTTTGTGATATACATAAATGATCTGGAGGAAGGTATAGATGGTCTGATTAGCAAGTTTGAAGATGATACTAAGATTGGTGGAGAATACAGCAGAATATAGATAGATTGGAGAGTTGGGCGGAGAAATGGCAGATGGAGTTCAATCCAGTCAAATGCGAGGTGATGCATTTTTGAAGATCCAATTCAAGAGCGAACTATACGGTAAATGGAAAAGCCCTGGGGAAAATTGATGCACAGAGAGATCTGGGTGTTCAGGTCCATTGTACCCTGAAGGTGGCAACGCAGGTCGATAGAGTGGTCAAGAAGGCATACAGCATGCTTTCATGCATCGGACGGGGTATTGAGTACAAGAGTTGGCAGGTCATGTTACAGTTGTATAGGACTTTGGTTTGACCACATTTGGAATACTGCGTACAGTTCGAGCCGCCACATTACCAAAAGGATGTGGATGCTTTGGAGAGGGTGCAGAGGAGGTTCACCAAGATGTTGCCTGGTATGGAGGGCACGAGCTATGAAGAGAGGTTGAGTAGATTAGGATTATTTACATTGGAAAGACAGAGGTTGAGGGGGAACCTGATTGAGTTCTACAAAGTCATGAGAGGTATAGACAGGGTGGATAGCAAGAAGCTTTTTCCCAGAGTGGGGGACTCAGTTACTAGGGGTCACGATTTCAAGGTGAGAAGGGAAAAGTTTAAGGGAGATATGCGTGGAAAGTCCTTAACGCAGAGGGTGGTGGGTGCCTGGAACGCGTTGCCAGCGGAGGTGGTAGAGGCGGGCACGATAGCGTCATTTAAGATGTATCTAAACAGATACATGAATGGGCAGGGCGCAGAGGGATACAGATCCTTGGAAAATAGGTGACAGGTTTAGATAGAGGATCTGGATCGGAGCAGGCTTGGAGGGCCGAAGGGCCTGTTCCTGTGCTGTAATTTTCTTTGTTCTTTGTTCTTTGTTGACTCAGGACAGACTTCATGGTGAGTACAAGAGACAACAGTGTGGGAGCAGGAAAGGAAGACATTGTAAGCGATTCTTTAGTGAAGATTAGATGGCAAAGAATTGAACTGAGTCAGAGCAGATCCCCCCCCCTTCAAGCTGGAGGGCAGTAAACAGGTATTGGAGGAGGATGGGCTGTTCACTATATCCAATACACCAGATGAGAAGGCAGAGATGGACGAAGAACGCTAGTTTCTTTTTGCCACAGTCATGTATAATGCCTGATTGGAGGAATTCAATCTGGAGCTAAGGTATTGTGTGCAATTCTGGAATCCAAATTATAGGAGGGATGTGATTGTGCTGGAGAGGGTGCAGAGGACATTTCCTAGGATGTTGTCTGGGCTGGAGAGTTTTAGTTACAAAGCGAGATTGCATAGACCTGTTGTATTCCTTGGAGCAGAGGAGACGAGGGGAGCAAATGATTGAAATGTATAAAATTATGAGGAGCATAGATAGGGTAGACAGGAAAGAATTTTCCCGTTGGTGCAGCAATCAATGATTGGGGGCATAGATTTAAGATAAGGAGCAAGAGATTTAAAAGGATGTGAGGATTTTTTTTCTCACTCAGGGTGGTAGGAAACTGGAACTCACTGCCTGTAAATGTGATAGAGGCAAATACCCTCATAACGCTAAAGAAGTACTCAGATGTTCACATGCAAGCACTAAGCATACAAAGCTGGGCAACAAAGAGGCCAAGTACTGGGAAATGGGATTGGAATAATTGGTTGTTTTTGTCTGACGCAGATTCTATGAGCAAAGGGTCAAAATCTGTGCTGTGGACTCCTATTACTATGTGGCAAACATGGAGTTCTGGGAAAGATGAGAATGGATTGGGAAACACAAATATGTTCGAGAACTTTGAAAGGGAAGGAAACATGGAGATGTTGCGGTAATTTGCAGGCTGAAAGGATCAACAATTGAGTACTAAGGGACAATGGAAAATGTGAAGATTCCAGGTTACACCCCCACATTGTGGTACTGAGTTCCTCACACAGGTGTGGGGAAATATAACACACACAGCCTTCGGGTTGACCCTCAACGATCATGTTCTGCAAGAGTGTGGAGCAGCAACAGATGATAGATTAATTACTGGCCTCTATGTCTTTCAGAAATTGAACCCTGCCACCCAAGCTGGCGCAGAATTGGACCCATGCTCAGATGAGGCACTTGGGAAACTGTTGTATTCCACCTCCAGCAACAAACCTAAGGAGAGTATTCGACTCATTACCAAGGACATGATTCGAGATCTGATGTAAGTGACCTTCATTCAGCTCGCGCACAGTGACTCAGTGTAGAGTAGACAATAAGGGTTAGGGTTCTGAGAGGCTTGTTTCTTTCTCTATTTCCATTTCACTCTCTGCCTGTCTATCTGACTGACTCTCCCTCTCTCTATCTTTCTGTCTTACTCACTCACTCTCTCCCTCTCTCAGTATTCCCACAGAGGATCCCTCAGGCAAGACTCTGATCATGAGCCCTGAGGAGTTTGAACGGATCAAGCAGGCTTCCCGAGTGATCAGTGAGGAGGAACGTGAGGCCATGCGTGTGGCGAACAATGCAGAGAGAATGCAGGCGGCGGTAGGTCAATGGTGTGTTCTGGGTCAGTGTTCCCCTGAGAATCAATGCCATGTCGCAGGTAAATGATCCCTTGAGGGTCAATGTGTACTTACAAGTCAATGTTCACCATTTGATACATAGCCCCCCTTCTTGCCAGTTACCCTGTTCCTAGCTGCCAGCATCCTCATCCCAACCACATTGTGCTTCTCCAGTGTCAGATTTTTACTGAAATGCAAAACTTAGCATTTTGACTTAAAATTGACTGAAGATGATGACTCATGTCAACTAATTCCAATATGAGCAATTTACAAGTTGAGTATTATCAACAGAAAGAATACAGTAGTTGTAAGCATGTGTTCTCTCCATCTAGTAGGTTTAAGAATCAAAAAAGTACTTTACCCTATTTACCTTACTTCATTCTGATGAACAAGCTCAATTTTTTTTCCTTGTCTCTCTTTATTTGACCTTATACTTTCAGATCCCTTGAGCAATAATCTCCAGTTGAATTCTTAGTATCTTATTAAGTATATGTCAGTCCTCACATGATCACTGCTGCAGTTGCACTGTCCATAGATTATTAACAAAACTTCATGTTACAGCCCTAAGTCATTGCTTCACTCGAGAGTACATCGACTGTTGCTAGACTAATCGGTAATGTATCTGTCCATCTCTCTCTTTTTCTGTATCTTTTCTTGCACTTTCCCTTTCTCTCTCTCTCTGTCCGTATATATCTGATTCTCTTTTGCTATAGCTCTCTTTCAATCTCTCTGCCTCTGTTTCTATCTCTCTCCCTCATTGCCCTGCTCTCTTTCTCAATCCCAGTATCTTTCTAAGATCGTATAATCGTAAGAAATAGGATCAAGAACAAGCATTCAACCCATCAACAGCTCATCATTCAATTAGATCATGGTTGATCTGATTGTAGGCTCAATTCCACTTTGTTGTCTCCTCATCCTAAAACTTTTGACTCCCTTGTCCCTTTTTCTATGCTTCTGTCTCTCTCTTTCTATGTCTTTCTCTCTTCACTTTGTGTTCTGTACCTCTTCAAATTGGTCTCTCATGCTCCTTGTCCAATTCTCTTTTTCTGAACTCTTTTTATCTTTCACGCCTTTCTGTTTCTCTGTCTTTCACTCGCACTGCCCCCCTCTCTCTCCTTCTGTACCTCTCTTTCTTTCTGTACCACTTATTTCCAAATGTCAACTTTTCCCTCCCTTCTCCATTGCCCCTGTGTTAGGGATGCCCATGACAGAACAGCATAAAATGGCTGACAATATCCCAACAAGCTTTGCAGTACATGTTTAACACAAATTAGAAAGTGTGGGAAAAACTTGTGTTCTCAGCACATAAAACAATAGCTTTCTGTGAGATTGGATGTGCAACATGAAATCCTAAAATAGGAACATTTCATACCAATTAGTTGTTTCTCTTAAGTTTTTCCTAATTAATCTGTTAGAATATTATGAGTAGGTTTTAATTAGGATCCTTCAAGATAAACATACATACAGTTTCCAAATACATTATAGGTTTAATACATATGTATATGAAATTCACTTAAAAAATTAGAAAGGTTTAAAAACTAATTACAAGTAATGGAAAGGAGCCTCCCTTATCTCTTAACAAGGACAGCAGCTAAGAGGATTGGAATGGTGGGAAATCTCAAAGAAGCTTCTGTTAAAGCCTTGTACAAGCTAGTTAACAGACAAGGGTCACTGGTAACCATGCAAATTTCAACTTCACACATACCAAAATGGCCCAATCACTTCACAGCAACAAGCAATTACTACTATATAGTGATGTACTGAAAACCCAAGCATAGTTGGACAACCCAGCACTAATTAACCAATAATGTACAAGAGGAGGTAGTATGTGCCGCCATGTTAAAGTAACAAGAAAATGTATAAAAGAAAGTTTGCTTATATTTAAAATTAGAGCATCGTTGACTTTTCTTCCGATCTGAGCCAAAGATTAAGAGGGCGATTAAACCCTCATGTTGAGGCCAGCTTCGGGGTGGTCTTTGGCTTTTCCCTGCATTACACCGGTGAATGCTTGAATAAATTACCACATGCCCAAATTCTGCTGTCACCTGAAATTTATTGCCTACAAAAGGCCTCTCCCACACCCTGCCCGCCTCTTTCTTTGTATTATGTCTCAATATATTCTTATTTCAGGAAATGGCTGGTGAACGGAAAAGCTTCATAAGAGCAAAAGAGCTTCAGAGACGTAAGAATGAGAAGCTGAATGAAGTGGAAGAGGCAGCACGGGACAGGGCCCTGTACCTGTTGGAAAAAGCAAATGCCTTACGCCTAGAGCAGGAGGATGAGATTAAACAGATCAATGAGGTGAGAGAAATGGAGAGAGAGAGAGTGTGAGAGAGAGCAGAAGTTGGTTAGTTGAGAAGCAGAAATATAGAAATAAAAATGATAGGAATGTCAGTAGGCTATTCAGCTAGTAGACTGTTCTGCCATTCCATATGATCATGGTTGATCGTCCAACTCAGGATCCTGTTCCTGCTTTCTCCCCATTGCCTTTGATTTCTTTGGTCCAAAGAACCACATCTAACTCCTTCTTAAAAGCATTCAATGTTTTGGCCTCAACAGCTTTCTCTGGCAGAGAATTCCACAGGCTCACCATTCTCTGGATAGAAAAATCTCTCCTCATCTCAGTCCTAAATGCTCCCCCCCGCCATTCCTAAACCATGACCCCTGCTTCTGGACTCCCTAGTCATCAGGAACATCCTTCCTGCATTTATCCATCTAGTCCTGTTAAAATTTAATAAGTATTTATGAAATCCTCCCTCAGTCTTCTAAAGTCCAATGAATAAAATCGTAACTGATCCAGTAGCTATTCATATGTCAGTCCAGCCATACTAGGAATCAGTCTGGTAAATCTTTGTTGTACTACTGCCATAGCGAGAACATAGATACATTAGGGACATTTAAGCGACTCTTAGATAGGCACATGGATGATAGTAAAATGTAGGGTATGTAGGGTAGTTTGATCTTAGAGTAGGATAATAGGTCGACACAACATCGTGGGCTGAAGGGCCTGGACTGTGCTGTACTGTTCTACATTCATTCTATGTTCTATGTTCATTCATCCACAGATAAGGAGACTGAAACTGCACGCGAAACTTCAGACGCGGTCTCACCAAACCCCTGTACAAATGTAGCCTGCTCCTGTACCTGAATATTCTCACTATGAAGGCCAACATGCCATTTGCCTTCTTCATTGCCTGCTGCACCTGCATGCTTGTCCGTCAGCCTTCCTGCTCCTCTGATGCTGCTTGGCCTGCTGTGTTCATCCAGCTCTACACCTTGTTATCTCTGCTTATTTTCAGTGACTTGTGTGCAAGAGCGCTCAAGTCTCATTGTACCTCCCCCTTTCCCAATCTAATGCCATTCACATGTGCCTTCAAATTTATGCAATCTCACATTTGTCCACATTTTATTTTAACTGCCGTGCAGTTTCCCACTAGCTAACATGTCTAAATCACACTGAAACATCTCTGCACTTTCCTCACAATTCACCCTCCCGCTTTGTGTCATCTAGAAACCTGGACATACTGCAAGAAATTGACTCATCCAAATCATCAGTATTTATTGTGAGCATTAAAATCCAAGCATTGATCTTTGAGGTACCCCAGTAGTCACTGCCTGGCACTCAAAGAGACCCGTTTATTCCTACTTTTTGTTTCTTGTCTGCCAACCAGTTCTCTATCCATGTCACTACACTATGCCCCTTATCCCATACTCTTCAGTTTTACTTAGTAACTTCTTATGTGGAACCTTATCAAAAGCCTTTTGAAAGTCCAATTACACCACATCTGCTGGTTCCCCATTATCAAGCCTCTAGTTACATCCTTGAAAAATTCCAGTCAATTTGTCAAGTGTGGTTTCTTTTTCATAAATCTGTGACTCTGTCTGATCCTGTCACATATTTCCCAGTACTTTGCTATTAATTCTTTTATAATAAACTATAGCATTTTCCCCACTTCTGAACTTAGGCTAATTTATCTATAATTCCCTTTTTCTGGGTTATATTAACTACTCTCCAATCCATAGGAACTGTTCCAGTGTCTACAGATCTTGAAAGATGGACACCAATGTCCTGAAGTACTCTGTGATATAGATTATCAGGCCTTAGCGATTTATCAGTTTTTAATTCTATCAATTTCCCACAACACCATTCCCCTACTAATACTGATTTATTTCAGTTCTTCCCTCACTAGATCCTGCATTCCCTAATATTTTTAGCACATTATTTGTGTCCTCCTTTGTGAAGACAGAATCAAAATTTTGACTGTACAGATTCAATGAGCAGAAGGGCCTCTTCTGTACTGTATGATTCTATGAAAATATATACTTAATTAGTTTTCCATCTCTTGGCTCCCCATTGTAACTTTCCCAATTTCTGACTGTAAGGGACCTATATTTGTCTTCACTAGTCTTTTACTCTTCACATTCCTATAGAAAGAAAGTTAAGAGGAAGAAAGGTACCACATGAACAAAAACTATTTGTTCATTCTAGTATGCCTACTTCATCAGACTCTGCACATACAATGGCTCAGTGGTTAGCACTGCTGCTTCACAGCGGTTGGAACCAAGGTTCGATTCTGCCCTTGGGCGACTGTCTGTGTGGAGTTTGCACATTCTCCATGTGTCTGTGTGAGTTTCCTCCAGGTGCTCCGGTTTCCTCCCACAGTCCAAAGATGTGCAGGTTAGGTGGATTGGCCATGCTAAATTGCCCATAGTGTCTAGGGATGTGTAGATTAGGTGGGTTATAGAGGGATGGGTCTGGGTGGGATGCTCCGAGGGTCGGTGTGGACTTGTTGGGCCGAAGGGTACGTTTTCTCACTGTAGGGATTCTGTGATATTGCATAGATGGGTGAGACAGTTGCGTACTGGTAATGAACAGGTGCATCATTTCTTGAAACTGGAGTTGCAGGTGGACAGGTTGGTGAAGAAGTATTTAGCATGCTTGTCTTCATTGGTCAGTACATTGAGTATAGGAGTTAGGACATCATGTTGTGGCTGTACAGTACATTGATGAAGCATTTTTGGAATGCTGCATCCAATTCTGATTTCCCTGTTACAGGAAAGATGTTGTTAAACTTGAACGGGTTCAGAAAAGATTTACAAGGATGTTGCTGGGATTGGAGGGTTTGACCTACAGGGAAAGGCTGAATAGGCTGGGACTTCTTCCCCCAGCGTCAGAGGCTGAGGAGGGGCATGGATAGGGTGAATAGCCAAGGTCTTTTTCCCAGGGTAGGGAAGTCCAAAACTAGAGGGCATAGGTTTAAGGTGAGAGGGGAAAGGTTTAAAGAGACCTGAGGGGCAACGTTTTTATGCAGAGGGTAGTGCATGCATGGAACGAGCTGTCAGAGGAAATGGTGGAGGTGGGTACAATTACCGCATTTAAAAGGCATCTGGATGGGTACATGAATAGGAAGGGTTTAGAGGGATATCGGCAAAATGCTGGCTATGGGACTCGATCAGTTTAGGATACTCAGTCGACATGGACAAGTTGGATCAAAGGGCCTGTTTCCATGTTGTATAACTCTGACTATAACTCTATAACTGTAATCCAGAGGCCCGGCTAATGTTTTGGGCCTCAAGTTCAAATCCAGCCATGACTGCTGATGGAATTTACATTTAATTAATTCATCTGGAATATAAAGCTAGTCTTAATAATAATGACAACGAAACTCTAACTCGGTGTCGTAAAAAGTCACCAGCAATGTCCTTTAAAGAAGAAAATTTGCCATTATTACCCGGTACTGTCTATATTTGACACCAGGTCTGCAGCAATACAGAATCCCAACAGAGCGGAAAGAGACTGTTCGGCCTATCAAGTCTACACTGACCATCCAAAGAGCATCCCACTCAAACCCAGCACCCTACTCTATTCCCATAACCTCGCAGTTACCATGAATAATCCAACTAGCTTGCACATCCCTAGACATTATGAGCCATTTAGCTGGTCAATCCACTAACCTTCACATCTTTGGACTGTGGGTGGAAACCAGAGCACCCAGCAGAAACCAACACAGACACTGGGAGAACTTGCAAACTCCACACAGACAGTCACTCAAGGCTGGAATTAAATCTGAGTCCCTGGCATTGTGAGGTAGCTGTGCCAACCACTGAACTCTAATATAGGTGACTTTAACTGTCCTCAAGCCACTCAGTTCAAGGCTATGTGTGATGATCCAAAAAAATTTGAAATTAAAGATCTAATGATGACCATGAAACCACTATCAATTGTCAGGAAAAACCCATCTGGTTCACTAATGTCCTTTAGGGAAGGAAAATGTCCATTATTCATTCACAAGATGAGGGCTTCATTTGTCAAGCAGCATTTATTGCCCAGACAGCAGATCAGAGTCAAGCACATTGCTGTGGGTCTGGAGTCACATGCAGGCTAAACCAGGTAAGGATGGTAGTTTCCTTCCCTAAAGGACATCAGTGAACCAGATGGGTTTTTCCCCTGACAATCAACAATGGATTCACAGTCATCATTAGATTCTTAATTCCAGACTTTTATTGAATTCAAATTCCACCATCTGTCACGGTGGGATTTGAACCCCAGGTCCCCAGACCATTATCTGGGTCTCTGGATTAGCAATCCAGCGATAATACCACTAGGCCATCACCTCCCCTTGACTCTCAATTATCATGATAATTACCATAGGATGGGCAATAATTGCTGGCCTAGCCAGTGACAACCACGTCCTGTAATTTTTTTTTCAAATGTTGAATCTGAATCTAAGTTAAGTGGTATTTATGAAGAATAGGAAAATGAAAGTATGAAGTATGATTTGGCAATGATGGATTGGAAAACTTTACGAAAAGTGTTGGCAGAGGATAGGCAATGGCTAGTTTTTGAGAAATGTTGTATGAATTACAACAATTATTAATTCCAATCTGGTGCAAAAATAAAAGGTGGTTTACAAAGGAAATTAAGGACAGTATTAAGTCCAAAGAAGAAGCATATAAAATTGCCAGAGAAAGCAGCAATCACGAGGACTGGGAGCAGGTTAGAATTCAGCAAGAGAGTACATAAATAATGGTCAAGAGAGGAAAAACAGAGTATATGAGTAAACTTGCAGGTAACATGGGCAGCACGTTGGCTCAGTGATTAGCACTGTGCCAGGGACCTGGGTTTGATTTCAGCCTTGGGTGACTGTGTGGAGTTTGCACGTTGTCCCCGTGTCAGCGTAGGTTTCCATGGTGTGCTCCGGTTTCCTCTCACAGTCCAAAGATGTGCAAGTTACGTGGGTTAGCCATGGTAAATGGGGGAGTTATGGGGATAGGGTAGGGGGCTGGGACTGGGTGGATTTCTGTCAAAGGGTCAGTGCAGACCTAATGGGCTGAAAGGCCTCTTTCCATACTGCAGGGATTCTATGATTCTAACATAAAAACTGATTATAAAAACTTATACAAATATGTGAAGAGAAAAAGAGTCAGTAAAGTCAAATGTAGGCCCTTTACAGTCAGAAGCTGGAGAAATCATAATGGACAAGAAAGGAATGTGCAAGAATTGAACACATTTTGATTCTGTCTTCACAAAGGAGGACATAAATAATATCCAGGACAAAAATGGGGTAAAGATTTTGTTACTCAGAGGATGGTGAACCTGTGGAATTCACTAGGGCAGAAGGTTGTAGAGGTGGGTCACCAAGTGTATTCAAGAAAGAGATTTTTAATTTTTTAAATATTAAAGGCATCGGAGCTATGGAGAGAAAGCGGTAAATATGACTTTTAAATCGAGGATCAGCCATGATCATATTGAATGGTGGAGCAGGTTTGAGGGGTAGTTTGTACATTTCTATTCATGTGTCAAAGTGGCTCTTTAGCTTGCCGAGCCTAGTATATGTACCAAGGACTGAACCTTGCTGATGTGGTTCTTAATCTCATTGCTCATGTTTGCCCCATAGGGTATTTCTCTTACCTTCAGACTAGACTCGATTTGTTGATGGCTTTTACAGAAGGGGTTACAGCATCTCTTTTCTTTGTTCCAGAGGGAAATTACTCTATTTCTTTTATGCAAGATGCCATTTTGGACAATCACTTCATCTCTGCATGAATGATACTCTCTTATGGCAACATGATTGCTCTTGATGGTTTCAAGCCAGATTGTCATTATTACTTCGTGTAGCACTTGCAGAGTTTCATCTTGTTGCTCGATTTGCTTGATTTGCTTGTTTTAAGCTAGATGCCTGTGTTTCACATTCAGTATTTCTGCTGGGTTGATGACTTCCAGAGCATGTCATGCCTTTGCTTATCATTGAATGTTGGAAGATTTTAAGACCATAATACATAGAAGCAGATTTAGTCATTCAGCCTATTGAGTCTGCACCACCACTTGATGATGACTGATATGTTTCTCAACCCCATTCTCCTGCTTTCTGCCCTTAACCCTTGATCTCCATACCTCTTAAGAACCTATCTATCTTTGCCTTAAACACACTGTATGACTTGGCCTTTGCAGTCCTCTGTGGCAATGATTTCAACAGATTAACCACCCTCTGGCAAAAGAAATTCCTCTTTATCTCAGTTCTAAAGGGTCATCCCTCACTCTGATGCTGTGCCCTCAATTCCTAGTTTCTCCTGCTACTGGAAACCTCTTCTCCACGTATACTGTATCCAAGCCTCTCAATATCCGCTAAGTTTCAATCAGATTCCCCTCTCATCCTTCTAAACTCCAATCAGTACAGACCAAGCGTCCTCAACCACTCCTCATTTGACAAGCCCTTCATCCCTGGGAACATTCTTGTAAACCTCCTCTGGAACCCCTCCAAGATCAGCACATCCTTACTTGGAAAGGGGGCTCAAAACTGCTCACAATATTCCAAATGCGGGCTGACAAGAGCCTTAAACAGTCTCAACAGTACACTTCTGCTCTTGTATTTAGCCCTCATGAAATGAATCTAACATTGCATTTACCTTCCTAACTGCCAACTGAATCTGCATATTAACCTTAAGAGAATCCTGAACTAGGACTCCCAAGTCCTTTTGTGCTTTAGGTTTCCAAAGCCTTTCACCATTTAGAAAACTGTCTATGCCTCAGTTCCTCCTAAAAGAAAAGTGCATACCCTCATACTTTCTCACATTGCGTTCCTTCCACTTCTTTCCCCACTCTCCTGACCCATCGAAATCTTTCTACAGCCTCCAACAACACCTGTCCCTCCACTTATCTTCGTGTTATCTGCAAACTTAGCAACAATGTCCTCAATTTCTTCATCCAGATTGTTAACGTATAACATAAATAGTTGTGATCCCAACACTTATCCCAGTGGAACTCCACTAGTCACCAACTTCCATCCTGAAAAAGACACCTTTAGCCCTACTCTTCCACCAGTCAGCTAATCCTCTATCCATGCCAGCATCTTTCCCCATATAGGCTGCTTTGTCCCCGATAGTGTCAAGCTTCTTGAGTGTTGTTGGGGCTGCACCCATGCAGGCAAGTAGTGAGTATTCCATCAAAATCGTGACTTGTGTCTTATTGTAGATGTTGGTGTGTTCGCTGAACTGGGAAGTTTGAAAGCAGATGTTTTGCCCCCTTATTAAGTGACACCCTCAGTGCTATGGAGCCTCCTGTGAAGCGCTGTTGTCTTGTGCCAGTTCAAATTTATATGGTCTGGTTTTTGCTGCTTCCGGTAGGTGCCGGTTCTGGCTGTGCATTGAAATGGTCGTTATATAGGGTCTAATTCAATGTGTTTGTTAATGGAGTCCACGGATGAATGCCTAGCCTCCAAGAATTCCCTGGATGTCCTCTGTTTGGCTTGTCCAATGATAGTAGTGTTGTCACAGTTGAAACCCAGTGGCTCTACCAGGAACCCCATCATACAAATTAGCAAAGGAACTACAACAAAAGCTTAAACATCTAATCAGTACTTCAAGACATTCCATACAATCAACACAAGAATTCCTGGACAATGTCAAGAACACTAAAATAGGCAAAGAAAAAGTGATGATCTTGTTCGATGTAACAGCATTGTTTACATCAATTGACAGACACCTAGCCAAAGAAACCACATCCAACCTACTAGACGAACACAACAGACGACAGAATGAGGAACAGATCAACAAACACTGCATGCTCAAACTACTGGACTTACGTTTAACAACATACTTTACATTCAACGGCATGGTATATGAGCAGATCAACAGGTCTCCCATGGGCTCACCCATCTCCGGGCTGATGGCTGAGGTAGTCATGCAAAGACTGGAACAAGCAGCTCTCCCATAGATCCAACCCAAGCTCTGGATCAGATACATGGACGACACTTTTGTAATTATGAAAAGAACAGAAATTGAGAATGCCCACTGACTCATCAACACCATACTCACAAGGATCATATTTACAAGACAGGAGGAAAACAACAAACAAACTCCATTCCTGGATGTGATGGTGGAAAGAAAAGAGAACGGTGACTTCACTACAAAAGTGTACAGGAAATCCACACATACTCAGCAGGTCTTAAACTATCGCAGCAACCACCCCAACTCACACAAGAGGAGCTGCATTAGGACCCTATTCAAAAGGGCCGCTACACACTGAAGCACACCCGATCTGCAGAAGGAAGAAGACCATGTCTACAAGGTCTTTACCAGGAATGGATACCCCCGCAGCTTCATCCACAGATGCCTAGTCAACAGACAACACAACCAGAACACACCAAAACCCGAAATAGTAACTACTATACCATATATAAAAAACACCTCCGAACTGACAGCCAGACTACTCAGACTGCTAGGAATCATGACAGCACACAAGCAGGCATCCACACTAAGACAGCAACAGACCAGGGTTAAAGACTCAATAGATAACCATGGACAGGCAAACATGGTTTACAACATACCATGTGGAGACTGCACAAAACACAACGTCAGACAAACAGGCAGACAATTAGCAATCTGCATCCACAAATACCTGCTAGCAACTAAAAGACATGACCAAATGACCTTGGTTTCAATACACACAGACAAGAAAAACCACACTTTCAACTGGAACAACACTACTATCATAGGACAAGCCAAACAGAGGACAGCCAGGGAATTCTTGGTAGCTTGGCATTCATCCATGGACTCCATCAACAAACACATTGAATTAGACCCGATATAGCAACCATGACAACACACAGCCAGAACTGGCACCTTCCAGAAGCAGCAAAAACCAGACCATATAAAATCGAAACGGCACAAGACAACAGCGTTTCACAGGAGGCTCCACAGGATGTCACCTAATAAGGGGACGAAACGTCTGCTGTCAAACTTCCCAGCTCGGCGAACCCACCAACATTTACAACTAACACCTGAGCTACAAATCTTCACTCAAACTTTGTGTCTTATTGGCGGTGCACAGGCATTGAGGAGACAGGAAGTGTCCAGAATTCACAGACTCCAGCCTGTTCTTGCAGCAGCTGTATTTATATGATTGGTCCTCTTCAGTTTCTAAACAATGGTAACTGAGAGATAATGCAATGAATCTTAGCCTTGCTGGCAATGTGCACATCCCATGAATAATTGAAAAGTTACCGTGGCTTCAAGAGCGAGTCAGAGGCTGGGAACTCATCTGTGAGTCACCTCCTGACCCCCTAAAAATGTCGGCTACCTGTGAGATACAAAGTCAGGAGTTTGAATTACCCCCATTTGCTTTGAATAAATTCAGGTCTAACGAGATTGAAGAAGTTCCAACACCTTCCAGGACAAAGCCACTGACTTGATCACCAGCTTAAATATTCACTCCCTCCACCACCAAAGCATATTAGCAACAGCATGCACAACATAAAAGAGGCAGTGCATCAACTTGCCTTTGAAAAGCACCATCTGATTCCTGTCATTATTACCAATTAATAGGACAAGGATGGCAGAGGTTTAGTACACCATCACCAGCAGGCTTTCCTCCAGGCTACATGCTGTTTTGACTTGAGAGTTATTTATTTTCCTCCACATCGCTGAGTCATTTATAACAGGGTCAACACAGTATGTTGATTAAGGATACCTAACCAAATTGTAAACTTTCCTGTTCCTCTGATGCTGCCTGACCTGCTGTGTTCCCTCAGCTCCACACTGTGTTGACTCTGACCTCTAGCAACTGCAGTTCTTGCTATCCCGGAGTCATTTATAACAGGCTCTAGAGAAGTACCTACAACACAGGAACTGCAACCTTTCAAGAAGGTGACTCACCACCATCTTCTTCAGGGTAGTTAGGGATGGGCGATATGTCCTGGCCTGAGCAATAATGCTCACATATCATGAAAGAATTTTAAAAAGTTTGATCAGACACTGTCAAGAAGATTTTCTATTCATGCTCTTTAATTTCTATAGACCATCACAGATGCACGGTGTCATGCAATCCGGGATGCCCAGATTCTGGAGAAGGAGCAAATTGAGAAGGAAATGATGGAGGAGGAAAAACGACTGGATAAAATGATGGAGGTGGATCGCCAGAAAGCTATCAAAATGCAGGATGAGCTTGAACGTATAAGGAAAGAAAATGGGCTCAGGTGAGAGAAAGAGGGAAGAGGAAGGGGGACATGGATTTAGAAATCTGGACAGAGGATGAGGTTTGAATTCAGAGAGGGGATGAGAGGAGAATAAAAGAATAAAGAATGGATCAAAGAGCGAGCAAGAAAGAGTAGGTAGTAGAGTGAGTGAGCTATGAAGTCAAAGATAGATGTATGGATAGAATAAGTCAGAGACTGAGAGATGCAGAGCAAGCACAAGAAAGAGGACTGAGCAAGAGAGTGAGAGAGAAGGGGGACAGAAGGGAGTAATTAAGACAGGGAGCGAGACAAAAAGAGGGAGCGTGGCAAAGAAAGGAAGCAAGACAAAAACAGAGGGATCAAGACAGAGAGGAGGAGCAAGGTAGAGGGAGGGAGCAAGAGACAGAAAGAGAAACAGGCAGACTGAAATAGAGATACATAGAACAAGTAAGAGAAAGAGATAATGGGATGAAGACAGAGAATGGTTATGGCCTGAGATGGAATGAGAGGGGACAGGGAAACAGAGAGAAAGAGAGAGATGGAGACAGAGAGAGAGAGAAGGAGACAGACAGAAAATGGAAAAGAGAGGGAAGAAGGAGATTGGGATTGAGTCTAATTTTGCACTCTGCTATCGCAGGGCTAAAGCTCACATCATTCAGCAAATTGAGGAGAGAGAACAAGAACGGATGTTGCAACTAGAACATAAAGCATTGCAGGCTGTGGAGAGAGTTCAGGCAATGGAGAGAATGCAGCAGGAAGATCTGGAGGTGAGAGAGAACAAAAATGAGAGAATGAGAGCATGATGAGTGTGAGAGTGAGAAAATGATAAACCACAAAGAAAGAGTGAGTGAGAGATCATGATTGAGAGAGTGAGATTGAGAGACCACAAGCAGGAGAGAGTGAGAAGATGGACGAATGAGAAGGTGAGAAATCATGAGGGAAAGACCATAAGTGAGTGACCGCAAGCAGAGAATGCAGAGAGAATGAGAGGGTAGGAGAAAGTGAGAGGAAGCAGAGTGAGAGGGCAACAAACATGAATGAGAATGACAAACCAAGCCAGAGAGTGCAAATCTGTGAATGAGGGGAACAGTGAGAAAGCAAAATTGAGAAGCGAAACTGAGCGTGAGAGTGAAAGAAAGAGCAAGAGTCAGAATGAGATTAAAGACAAAGGGAGGCGATGGCCTAGCAGTATTATCACTGGACAGTTAACCCAGAGACTAAGTAATATTCTGGGGACCCAGGTTCAAATCCCGCCATAGCAGGAGGTGGAATTTGAATTCAATAAATATCTGGACGTAAGAGTCTAATGATGACCGTGAATCTATTGCTGATGGTCAGGAAAAGCCCATCTGGTTCACTGATGGCCTTTAGGGAAGGAAATCTGCTATCCTTACGTGGTCTGGCCTAAATGTGACTCCATTTCCACAGCAATGTGGTTGACTCTTAACTGCCCTCTGGGCAATTAGGGATGGGCAATAAATGCTGCCTGGCCAGTGATGCCCTCATTCTGTGAATGAATAATAAACAAAATTAACAACAAGAGATCAAGAGTGAAAGCATGCAGAGTAATTAACATTGAGAACCGAAAAAAGAACAAGAATGAGTGAGTGAGACAGATGAAACCTTCCTTCCTCCTAACTCCTCCACTCTCTTCTTCTTGCTCCATCCCGCCACCTTTGACCTATTACGATCTCTCATCTCCTCCTCTGCCTCTCTCCCACTGTCATTGGCCTTCCGTTCTTCAGTCCCATTCTCTTATTCTCCTGCTGACATTAGTCTCTGTCCTCCCACTTCCATTTCTTCCTGACTTTTCCCTCTCCTCTCCAGTACTCCCTTCTTTTCCTGTACTTTCAGTCTCCCTGTTACATTCCATCGTCATTAGAGGGGAGGCCATATTGAATTTGGTGCTTGACAATGAACCAGGCCAGGTGTCAGATCTCTCAGTGGGAGAGCTTTTCGGTGATAGTGATCACAACTCCCTGACCTTTACTATAGTCATGGAGAGGGATAGGAGCAGACGGTATGGGGAAGTATTTAATTGGGGATAGGGGAATTGCAATGCTATAGGCAAGAACTGCGGAGCATAAATTAGAACCAGATGTTCTCAGGGAAATGCACAACGAAAATGTGGAGGTTGTTTAGGGAGCAGTTGCTACAAGTACTGGATAGGTTTGTCCCACTGAGGCAAGGAAGGGATGGTAAGGTGAAGGAACCTTGGATGACAAGACATGTGGAACATCTCATCAAGAGGAAGAAGGAAGCTTACTTAAGGTTGAGGAAGCAAGAATTGGACAGGGCTCTAGAGATGTATAAGGTAGCCAGGAAGGAACTGAAGAATGGACTTAGGTGAGCTAGAAGTGAGTATGAGAAAACCTTGGCGGGTAGGATCAAGGAAAACCCCAAGGTTTTCTATACTTATGTGAGGAACAAGAGGATGGCCAGAGTGCGGGTAGGGCCAATCAGGGATAGTGGAGGGAACTTGTACACAGTCGTAGGACGTAGGGGAGATACTTAATGAATACCTTGCTTCAGTATTCACCAGTGAGAGGGACCTTGATGTTTGTGAGGACAGCATGAAACAGGCAGATATGCTTGAACAGGTTGAAGTTAGGAAGGAGGATGTGCTAGAAGTTTTGAAAAACATGACAGATAAGTCCCCTGGGCCAGACGGGAGATACCCAAGGTTGCTACGGGAAGCGGGGTAAGAGATTGCTGCCCCTTTGGCAATAATCTTTGCGTCCTCACTGTCCACTGAAGTAGTACCAGAAGACTGGAGGGTGGCAAATGTCATTCCCCTGATCAAGAAAGGGAATAGGGATAACCCTGAGAATTACAGATCAGTCAGTTTTACTTCTGTGGTGGGGTGGGCAAATTATTGGAGAGGATTCTGAGAGATAATATTTACGATTATTTGGAAAAGTACAGTTTGATTAGAAATAGTCAGCATGACTTTGTGAGGGGCAGGTCATGCCTCACGAGCCTTATTGATTTCTTTGAGGATGCGACAAAACACATTGATGAAGGTAGAGCAGTGGATGTGATGTATATGGATGTTAGCAAGGCATTTGATAAGGTTCCACATGGTAGGCTCATTGAGAAAGTAGGGAGCCATGGGATTCAGGGAAATTTGGCTGTCTGGATACAAAACTGGCTGTCCAATAGAAGACAGAGAGTGGTAGTAGATGGAAGGTATTCAGCTTGAAACTCAGTGACCAGTGGTGTTCCGCAGAGATCTGTTTTGGGACCTCTGCTCTTTATGATCTTTATAAATGATTTGCATGAGGAAGTGGAAGGGTGGGTCAGTAAGTTTGCCGAAGACACAAAGGTTGGTGGAGTTGTGGACAGCGTGGAGGGCTGTTGTAGATTGCAACGGGACATTGACTGGATGTAGAGCTGGGCAAAGAAGTGGCAGATGGAATTCAACCCTGAAAAGTGTGAAATGATTAAGTTTGGAAGGTCGAATTTGAATGCAGAATGCAGGGTTAATGGCAGGATTCTCGGCAGTGTGGAGGAACAAAGGGTTCTTGAGGTCCACGTCCATAGATCCATCAAAGTTGCTACCCAAGTTGATAGGGTTGTAAAGAAGGCATATGGTGTGTTGGCTTTCATTGGCAGCGCAATTGAGTTTAAGAGCCATGAGGTTATGCTGCAGCTCTATAAAACTCTGGTTAGACCACACTTGGAATATTGTGTTCAGTTCTGGTCACCTCATTATAGGAAAGATGTGGAAGCTTTAGAGAGGGTGCAGAGGAGATTTACCAGGATACTGCCTGGACTGGAGGGCAGGTCTTATGAGGAAAGGTTGAGGGAGCTGGGCTTTTTTCATTGGAGCGAAGAAGAATGAGTGGTGACTTGGTAGAGGTTTACAAGATGATGAGAGGCATAGATAGAGTGGATTGTCAGAGACATTTTCCCAGGGCGGAAATGACTATTCCGAGTGAGCATAATTTTAAGGTGATTGGAGGAAGGTATAGGGGGGATGTCAGAGGTAGGTTCTTCACACAGAGAGTGGTGGGCGTGTGGAATGCGCTGCTGGAAGTGGTAGTGGAGTCAGATACTTTAGAGACTTTTAAGCAACTCTTGGCTAGGCACATGGAGGATAGTAAAATTTAGTGTATGCAGGGTAGATTGATCTTAGTAGGATAATAGGTCAGCACAACATAGTGGGCCGAACAACCCGTACTGTGCTGTACTGTTCTATGTTCTATGTCACCATGTACTATTCTCCCACCTGCCCCTCCACTCCTCCCCTCTCAGTCCCCTTCTCTTCCTTCCCTTCTCCCCTCCAACTCTCCATCTCCACACTCCCTTCTTCTATCCTTTCCTTCCTCCTTCATCTCCCTTTCTTCTACCTCCCTCCATTTCTCCCACTCTCCTGTCCCACTCTTCCTGTCTTCTCCTGCCTCGCTCTCATTGTGTTCCTTCACTCCTCCACTTCATTTTCTTGCTTTTAACTCAGCCCCTCCATCTCCATCCCTTCACTTCTCACTTGCCCTCTCCTTAAGTCTGCCTCTCCCAATCCTTTTCCTCTGTGTCCCTAATCTCTTCCCTGACCCTCACAATCTTTCATTCCTTCTCTACTGTCATCTCTTCCCATTTTCACCTCCTTCTCCCTTGCCGTTTCCCTTCTGCAACCTCACATACTCCCCCCTCCTCTCCCACAACCTCTTTTATTCTTACCTACCTCCTTCCCTTCCAAAAATGTTCTTTTCACACCATTCACCCCTTCTTCCTTTCCCACTTCACTCTTGGCTTCCATCAAATGGATCCTCCCCTCTCCTTTCTACCTTAATAACCTCTCTATCCCTCTTTCTCGAAAACAGAATTTGCAAAATAAGCGTCAACAACAGAGAAGGAGACACCAGGAGATCAAGGAATCCAATGAGCAAGTTCAGAAACATCGAGAGCTGATGCAACAGCTAGACCGGCAGGCCGATCAGAAAGTACAGGAATTCCAGGACGCCAAGATGGTAAAAGGCCATAGCAGTGGGACAAAGAGTGGGGAAGTTGGTTGTCAGAGAGAATTGGAGAGGGATGATAGGATGGGAGTCATTGAGTCATTTAGGTTATAGAAGGAGGCTACTTGGCTCGTCAAGCCAGTAGAGCAACAGTCCCATGATCCCATCTAACCGCGTAGCCCTGAAAGTTAATTTTCTTCCAAGTGCCCGTTCAATACCCTTAGGAAATAGTTCTTATCTCTGCTTCCAAAACTGGTGGAAGTGAGATCCAAGACAACAAGGTGCAGAGCTGGATGAACACAGCAGGCCAAGCAGCATCACAGGAGCAGGAAGGCTGATGTTTCGGGCCTAGACCCTTCATCAGAAGTGGGGGAGGGGAAGGGGGTTCTGAAATAAATAGGGAGAGAGGGGAAGGCGGATAGAAGATGGATAGAGGAGAAGAAAGGTGGAGAGGAAACAGACAGGTCAAAGAGGCGGGGATGGAGCCAGTAAAGGTGAGTGTAGGTAGGGAGAAGATAGGTCAGTCCAGGGAGGACGGACAGGTCAAGGGGGCAGGATGAGGATAGTAGGTAGGAGATGGGGGTGGGGCTTGAGGTGGGAGGAGGAGATAGGTAGGAGGAAGAACAGGTTAGGGAGGCCGGGACGAGCTGGGCTGGTTTTGGGATGCGCTAGGGGGAGGGCAGATTTTGAAGCTTGTGAAATCCACATTGATACCATTGGGCTGCAGGGTTCCCAAGCGAAATATGAGGTGCTGTTCCTGCAACCTTCGGGTGGCATCATTGTGGCACTGCAGGAGGCCCAGGATGGACATGTCGTCTGAGGAATGGGAGGGGGAGTTGAAATGTTTCGCGACTGGGAGGTGCAGTTGTTTATTGCGAACCGAGCGTAGGTGTTCTGCAAAGCGGTCCCCAAGCCTCCGCATGGTTTCCCCGATGTCGAGGAGGCCACAACGGGTACAGCGGATACAGTATACCACATTAGCAGATGTGCAGGTGAACATCTGCTTGATGTTGAACGTCTTCTTGGGGCCTGGGATGAGGGTGAGGGAGGAGGTGTGGGGGCAGGTGTAGCACTTCCTGCGGTTGCAGGAAAAACTGCCGGGTGTGGTGGGGCTGGAGGGGAGTGTGGAGCGGACAAGGGAGTCACGGAGAGAGTGGTCCCTCCGGAAAGCAGATAAGGGTGGGGAAGGAAAAATGTCTTTGGTTGTGGGGTCGGATTGCAGACGGCAGAAGTGTCAGAGGATGATGCGTTGGATCTGAGGTTGGTGGGGTGATACGTGAGGACGAGGGGGATTCTTTCTTTGGTTGTTACTGCGGGGACGGTGTGTGAGGGATGAGTTGCGGGAAATGCGGGAGATACGGTCGAGGGTGTTCTCGACCACTGAGGGGGGGGAGGTTGCGGTCCTTGAAAAACGAGGACATCTGAGATGTACGGGAGTGGAATGCCTCATCCTGGGAGCAGATGCGGTGGAGGCGAAGGAATTGGGAATAGGGGATGGCATTTTTGCAGGAGGGTGGGTGGGAGGCAGATCATTATGATTCACTGTATTAAAGGGTTCATCACATGCATCCTGCACGTCTTGCCTGAAACTGTAAATCTGGGTGCCCTAGTCATGCTGTTAGTAATTGTGGCACAGATATAAATCTTTTAGATCTAAACACCATTACGGAGATATGGTTATGTGGTGATCCAGGTTAGGAACTACATATTACACAGTATATAATATTACAACAGGACAGTCAGAATGGAGGAGTGGTATTGATAGTAAGGGATGACATAAAGACGTCAGTATGAAAGGGTTTGGCCTCAGAAGACTGTGACGTAGAATAGGTATCAGTGGAATTTAGGCATAACGAAAGCCAGAAAATACTGGTTTCACTAAGTCATAGACCATCCACCAAGACATCATACTGTTGAACAGAATTATCCCTGTTGTCCTTCTTAAACAAAGGAAACCCACGGTTATTCTCCAATCCTCTGGGACCACTCCTGAGTCTAAAGAGGATATAATGATTTCATACAAGACCCCAGCAATTCACTCCTTCGCCCTCCTCTGTAGCTGGACAGATTCCATCAGGTCTTTGGGGACCTTGTCTACCATAATGCTTTTCAAGACACTCAACCTCTCCTTTTTTATGTTGGTATGCCCTAGAATAACAACACATCCCTCTCTAGACTTACCATCTACCATGTCCTTCTCCTTTGCGAATACCAATGCAAAGTATTTTTTAAGGACACTTCCTCCAGCTCCATGCATAAATTCCTTCATTTGTCCTGAGTGGACATACCCTTTCCCTAGCCTTTCCTCTTTATATACGTATAACTCACTTTGAATTTTCCATAATTCTTTTCCGGTCCAAGACAGTGGTGGAGTAACAGGGCTGCATGCGGGCTCTTGCCCGGAGCCTGTCCGCTCACATCTGCTTTCTGTCTTTGTTTTATTTTTGCTTCTGCTGTTTTCTTTCACTTTATTTTCCTTATCTTTTGGGCTTTGTTTTCTTCTTTACTCTGGTGGGTTGGTCAGCACCACCAGCGCAGCAGCCAGAGAGGGCCGCATGCAGAGTGGTAGATGTGGCTTCTTCCAGTAATCAGAGGCAGTGGCAGCAAGTACGGTCTTCTGGCGTTTGAGGCCAACATTTACAGCAGCAAGGTTGTCCTCCTGGCAGTTGGACCTGGTGGCTGCAGCAGCAGGGTCATTCTCCCAGCATCGGTGGCGGTGATAACAGCAGCAACATTGTTCTCCTGGCATTTGGGGCCGGTGGCAGCGGCAACAAAGCTGTTCCAATGATCGGATCGGCAACACCAGTGGCAGTGGACTCTTCAAGATGGCGGCACTGGCAAGACCTCTGCAGCCAAAGCAGGACTCGTGGCCAGTGACAGTCTGGCCTGGCAGCGGAGCCAGAGACTCTTGGTTGAAGGACAAGTGTGGGTTCAGCGGTGCCAGCAAAGTGGGCCCAGCAGCGAAGAGATGATGCCTAAAGTGGGGCCACTCCTAGGTGGATCCAACAGAGGCAACTGTGAGGCAGTAGAGGCCTCCCTTGAGGCTAGGTGCCAGTATGGACAGGATCAGAAAGACTGATACTCTGAATTTCTTAGTTTTTTTATTTTTCTAATTTATTCCAATGACCTATAATGCTGGACAATGTATTTCCTTACTTTTTTTTCCTAAGAATTTGATCTTGAGTATCTGTTCTGAGGGACCTTTGTTCCTAAGATGGTGTTGTAATGCAGCGACTGCAAACCTTTCATACATGTGACAATAAAACTAATTCAATTCAGTTTTTGATAAGGACGTTTCATGTCCCCTTTTAGTCTTCCCAACTCTTTGTTGAAGTTCTTTCCTGCTTTCTTTATATTCTATGAGGATTCTGACTATCTTCATTTTCTTAAACTTTACGTATCCCTCCTTTTCCTTTTTGACAAAGATCACAATTTCTTTTATCATCCAAGGATCCTAAATCTTGCCATCCTTATCCTTCATTTTCACAGGAACATGCTCGCCATGAACTTTAATTAATTGGCCTTTAAAAGATTCCCACATGACAGATGTGGATTTGCTCTCAAACAGCTGTCCCCAATCTACATTCCCCAATTCTTGCTTAATATTATCTCAGTTAGCCTTACCTCAGTCTAGTATCTTCACCCGAGGACTACTCTTATCCTTATACATAAGCAACTTAAAATGTATAGAATTATGATCACTGATCACAAAATGTTCCCCCACTGAAACTTCAATCACCTGACCAGGCTTATTCCAAATCGCTAGATCTAGTATGGCCCTTACCCTGGTTGGACTATTTACATATTGGTTCAAGAAGCCTTCCTGGAAGCACCAAACAAATTCCCCCGTATCAAATCTCCAGCACTTAGGTAGTCCCAGTCGATATTGGGGAGGTTAAAATTATCCACTGCAATGACCTTTTTTTTGACATTTTTCCATCATCTATCCACGTATCTGTTCCTCTATCACCCACTGCTTGTTGGGAGGCCCTGAGCCTGTACCCATAATGCGTCGCTGGCTAAGCCCTCCAAGGTGTCCTGCCTTAGTGTAGCTTTGATATTCTCTCTAATCAGTAATGCAATTCCGCCACGTCTTTTACACCCCTCCCTATCACGCCTGAAACACCTAAACCTGGAATGTTAAACTGCCTGTCTTGTCCCCCTGTCAGAGATAGTAGGAACTGCAGATGCTGGAGAATCCGAGACAACAAGGTGCAGAGCTGGATGAACACAGCAGGCCAAGCAGCATCATAGGAGCAGTTGGCCTGCTGTGTTCATCCAGCTCTGCACCTTGTTGTCCCCCTGTCAACCAAGTCTCTGTAGTAGCAACAGTATCATAGTTTTATGTAATAATCCAAGCTCTAATTTCAACATAGTGTGGAGCTGAATGAACACAGCAGGTCAGGCAGCATCAGAAGTGTAGGATAACACAGTGTGGAGCTGGAGGAACACAGCAGGCCAGGCAGCATCGGAGGAGCAGGAAAGCTGACGTTTCGGGTCGGGACCCTTCTTCTGGACTGGGGTGGGGGAAGGGAGCTGACAAAAGCATTTATGGGTGTATTGGTAGTCATCTTCCAAGTTATATACACATTCTGGAACAGTTCCTACAAATTAGAGGATAGCTAATGTAACCCCGCTATGTGAAAAGAGAAGCAGAGAGAAAACCAGGAGTTATAGATCAGTCAGCCTGATGTGGATGTTTGGGAAAATGCTAGAGTCCATTATAAAAGAATTAATTGCTGTACAGTGCAAAACAGTGAAAGGATCATACAGAGTCAGCATGGATTTACGAAAGAGAAATCATGTTGAAAAATCTACTAGAGTTCTTCGATGATGCAACTAGTAGAGTTGATGAAGGGGAACGAGTGGATGGGGTTTATTTGGATTTTCAAAATGCTTTTGACAAAGTCCCATGTAAGACTTCAGAGTGGAAAATCAATGCAAATGGCATTGGAGTAATTTATTGAGATGGGTGGAAAATTGGTTGGCAGACAGGAAACAAACAGTCGGACTAAATTAGTCTTTTTATGAATGAAGCAGAGACTAATGGGGATCCGTACTAGAATCTTGGCTATTCACAGTATATGTAAATGATTTGGTTGAGGGAACTAAATGTAATATCTCAAAATTTACAGATGACATAAAGTCAGGTGGAATGGTGAGCACTGAGGAAGGTGTAGAGACACATCAGTGTCATTTGGAGAGGCTGAGTGGGTAAATGAATGGCAGATGCAGTAAAATGTGGATAAGTGTGAGGTTACTCATGTTGGTAGCAAAAACAGGAAGGCAGATTATTATTTGAATGGCTGTAAATTGAGAGAGGGGAATGTGTAACGAGACTTGGTGTGCTCGTACATGCTGAAGGCATGCATGCAAGTGCAGCAGGTAAAAAAGAAGCCAAATGGTATGTTGACCTCCATAGTGAGAGAATTCAGTTGCAGGAACAAGGATGTCTTGCTGCCATTATGCAGGGCTTAGTGAGGTCAGCCACACTTGGAAAATTGTGCGTAGTTTTTGTCTCTTTATTTGAGGAAGGATGTACTTGCTATAGAGGAATGTAGTGGAGGTTTACCAGCCTGATTCCTGGGATGGCCAGACTAACATATGAAGAAAGGATGAATCAGCTAGAATTATAATTGCTGGAGTTCATAAGAATGAGGGGGAGATCTCATGGATGGTTGTAAAATTCTAACAGGACTAGACAGGATAGATGCAGGAAGGATATTTCCGATGGTGGGAAGTCCGGAACCAAGGGTCATAATCTAAGGATACGGGTAAACTATTCAGGAGTAAGATGAGGAGAAATTTCTTCACAGAGTGGTGAGCCTGTCGAATTCACTACCACAGAAGGCAGTTGAAGCCAAAACATTGAATGTTTTTCAAGACAGGCTTGGATATAGCACTTGTGGCTGAAGGAATCAAAGGATATGGAGGAAAAGCAGAAACAGGCTGTTGAGTTGGATGATCATCCATGATCATAATGAATGCTGGAGCAGGCTCGAAAGGCTGAATACCCTACTCCTGTGTCTATTTTCTGTGTTCCTATAGGAGAGAAAAGGAGAGATGGAGGGGTAGAGAGACAGAGAAAAAGAAAGCGAGCAAGACATGGATGATAATGGAATAGTGTAGGTTAGATGGGCTTCAGATTGGTTTCACAGGTCGGCGCAACATCGAGGGCTGAAGGGCCTGTACTGCGCTGTAATGTTCTATGTTCTATGACAGTCAGTGGCTGGGGCTGAAGAAACAGAATTTTCCTCAGTAACTAACCCTTCTTGTTTTTGTATGTTTCTTCCTAGAAAAGAGAAGCTGAAATTGAGGAGCAGCAGAATCGCTTGAAGCGGGAGAAGGCAATAGAAGTGGCTCGATTGCAGGCCTTGCAAGAACGAGCACATGATCACAAAGCAGAACAGGTTAGTTTAGAGGTATTCCTCTGTAGGAGAGAGCTGAGAGACTTCAACCAGTGTACAGAAAGCTTCTGGAGAGAAAGCAAATGAGAGAAGCCAATCAATGTGCAGTAGTGAGGTAAGATGTTTACCTCTGATGTAAAGACTGCATTTGACCAAGTGTGACACTAAGGAGCTTGCACAAACTTATTTAATACAATACATTACAATTCAATACAGCATAGGAACAAGCCTTTATCCCTCTGTTGGTGTCTCATTAATGTATTTATCAAGATACACCTTAAATATTCCTAACATGCCTAACATGGGGGTGGAATGGTGGCTCAGTGGTTAGCACTGCTACCTCACAGCACCAGGGACCTGAGTTCAATTCCACCCTTGGGCGACTGTCTGTGTGGAGTTTGCAAATTGTCCCTGTGTCTGCATGGCTTTCCTCCGGGTACTCCAGTTTCCCTCCACAGTCCAAAGATGTGCAGGTTAGGTGGATTGGCCATGCTAAATTGCCCGTAATGTTCAGGGATGTGTCGCTTAGGTGGGTTATAAGGGGATGGGTTTGGGTGGGATTCTGCAAGGGTCTGTGTGGACTTGTTGGGCCGAAGGGCCTGTTTCCACACTATAGGGATTCTATGTGAATGCCTGCTTCCACCGCCTCCACTGACAATCCATTCCATGTACTCACCACCCTCTTGGAGAAAAATTTTCCCTGCACTTCTCCCCTAAACTTTCTCCCTCTCACTTTGAACTTGTGCCCTCTTATAGATGACCTGACCACCCTGGGAAAAAAGCCTCTGACTATCCACAGTATCTATGCCTCTCATAATTTTGTAGACCTCTATCAGATTGCCCCTCAGCCTCCATCTTTCCAGTAAAAACAATCTGAGTTTACCCAACTTCTCTTCATAGCTAAAACACCCCAGAGCAGGCAACTTCCTGGTAAACCTTCTGTGTACCGTCTTCAAAGCATCCACGTCCTTCTGGCATTGTGGCAACTAGAACTGCATGCAATATTTCAAATGTGGCCTAACTAAAGTTTTGTACAGCTGTACCGTAACTCGCCAACTTGTATATTCGATGCCCTGGTCAATGAAGGCAAGCATGCTGTATGCCTTCTTGACCACCTGATCCACCTGTGTTGTCATTTTCAGGTATCTGTGGACCTATACACCCAGATGGAGTTTAATCCATGTAAGTGTGAGGTGCTGCACTTTGGGAGATCAAATATCAAGGAAAGGTATACAGTTAATGGCAGGACACTGAATAGCATTAATGAACAGAAGGATCTTGGGTTTTAAGTCCATAGCTCTCTGAAAGTGGCCTGGCAAGTAGATAGGGTGGTAAAGAAGGTGTATTGCATGCTTGCCTTTTTTGGTTGGGAAATTGAATACAAGAGTCAGGGTGACATGTTACAGCTTTATAAGACTTTGGTTAGGCCACACTTAGAGTATTGTGTTCAATTCTGGTCGCCATATTACAGGAAGGATGAGGAGTCATTGGAGAGGGTGCAGAAGAGGTTTACCAGGATGCTGCCTGGATTAGAGGGTATGAGCTGTAAGGAGAGGCTAGAAAAAATCGAGTTATTTTCTCTTGAGCAGCGGAGATTGAAAAGAGACTTGACAGCAGTCTATAAAATTATGAGATGTATAGATAGGTTTGACGGTCAGAATCTTTTTCCCAGAGTTGAAATGTCAAAAACTAGGGGGCATGCATTTAAGGTGAGAGGGGGAAAGTTCAAGGGAAATGTGAGGAGCAAGTTTTTACACAGAGAGTGGTCAGAGTCTGGAATGCACTGCCAGGGATGGTGGTGGAGGCAGATATGATAGGGATGTTTAACGGGCTTTTAGATAAGCATATGAATTTGCAAGGAATGGAGGGATATATGGACCAAGGGCAGACAGGAGGGATTGATTTCAATTGGTGTCATGTTTGGCGCAACATCGTGGACCAAAGGGCCTGTTCCTGTGCTGCACTGTTCTATGTTCTTTGTTCACCCTTCTCCCCATGACGGGGGAGGCAATGGCCTAGTGGCAGTATCGCTGGACTGTTAATCCAGAGACACAGATAACACTCTGGAGACCCAGGTTCAAATCCTGCCATGGCAGAGGGTGGTATTTGAATTCAATAAAATATCTAGAATTAAGAATCTAATGATGACTGTGAATCCATTGTCGATTGTTGAAATAGCCCATCTGGTTCACTCATGTCCTTTAGGGAAGGAAACTGCCATCCTTACTTGATCTGGCCTACATGTGACTCCAGACCCACAGCAATGTGGTTGACTCTGAATGGCCTTCTGAGCAATTCGGGATGGGCAATAAATGCTGCCTAGCCAGCAACACCCTTGTCCTATTAATGAATTTAAAAAAACATATTTGTGGCTACCGCAAACTTGGCCATGTTCTAACACAATAGGACCTGGACAATATCCAGTCTTGGGCTGACATGTGGCAAGTAACACTTGCACCACACAACTGCCAGGCAACAACCATCTCCAGTATAAGACAATCTAACCACCGCCCCTTGACATTCAATGGCATTACAATGACTGAGTCCGTCGCTGTCAACGTTCAGTGGGTTACCATTGACCAGAATCTCAATGGGACTCACTATATAAATACAGCAGCTACAAGAGGGGTTCAGAGGCTAGGAATACGTAGACAGTAGCTCACCATCTACAAGTCATAAGTCATGAAAGTGATGGAACGCTCCCCACTTGCCTGGATGAGCGTACCTCCAAAAACACTCAAGACGCTTGACATCTTCCAAGAAAAAGCAATCCGCTTGATTGGGAACACATTCACAAACATTCACTCCCTCCGTTACTGACACCCAGTGTGTGTACTATCTGCAAGATGTACTGTAGAAATTCTCCAAATGTCCATATTGCACCTTCGAAACTCACAACCACTTCCATTTGGAAGGATAAGGGCAGCAGATACATGGGAGCACCACTGCCTGCAAGTTTCCTGTTTTCTGTCTGTTAACCAATCATTATTGCCTGGAATGGAAGGAGGGTCTTACGAGGAAAGGTTGAGAGAGCTAGGGGCTTTTCTCTTTAGAACGAAGAAGGATGCGAGATGACTTGATAGAATTGTACAAAATGATCAGAGATATAAATAGAGTGGACAGCCAGAGACTTTTTCCTAGGGTGGAGGTAGCTATTACGAGGGGGCATAGTTTTAAAGCGAGTGGAGGTAGATATAGTGGAGACATCAGAGGTAGGTTCTTTACTCAGAGAGTGGTAGGGGTGTGGAATGCATTGCCGGAGAGGGTAGTAGAGTCAGCCTCATTAGGGGCATTTAAGCAGCTATTAGATAGGCATATGGATGATAGTATAAGGTAGGGGTGGAGGTTAGATAGACCTTAGATATAGGGTAAAAGTTCGGCACAACATCGTGGGCCGAAGGGCCTGTACTGTGCTGTACTGTTCTATGTTCTATTTTCTATTAATCCATTGCCAGTGCATTACCTAATATCCCAAGCTGTATCTTCTTCTAACCAGTCTCCTGTGGAAGACTTCATCAGCACCCTTTTGGAAATCTAAGTATATTACATCTGTTTGCTCTCCTTTGTCAATTTTGCTTGGAACATCTTTAAAAAAAAACTCCAACAAGTTTCGCAGAGATAGCAAGAACTGCAGATGCTGGAGTCAGAGATAACACAGTGTGGAGCTGGAGGAACACAGCAGGCCCGGCAGCATCAGAGAAGCAGGAAAGTTGACATTTCGAATCGGGACCCTTCTTCAGAATGGGGAGGGGGAAGGGAGCTTGGAAATAAATAGAGAGAAGAGGGGTGGGGCTGGCAAAGGTAGGTGGGATGGTGATAGATGAGTACAGGTAGGGAGTGGTGGGGATTGGTTATTGGGATGGGTGGGGCAGATAGGTGGGAGAGAAGATGGACAGGTTGTGTTAGGTCAAGGAGGTGGGGATGAGAAGGAGGTTTGGACATGGGATGAAGCCGGGGTGAGGAGATTTTAAAACTGGTGAATTCTATGATTAGGCCACCGGGCTGTAGGCTCCCGAGGCAGAATGAGGTGTTACTTCTCCAGTTTGCGAGTGGTGTCATTATGACACTGGAGGAGACCCAGGATGGACATGTCACTCAGGGAGTAGGAGGAGGAGTTAAAATGGTTGGCGACCAGAAGGTGTCGTTTGTCGCATATAGAGTGCAGATGCTCTACGAAGTGGTCTCCGAGTCTATGTTTGGTCTGACTGATGTAGAGGAGGCCACACCTGGAGCAGCGGATACAGTAGACCAGGTTTACAGGTGTACAGGTGAACCTCTGTCTGATGTGAAAGGTTTGTTTATGGCCTTGAATGGAGGTGAGGGGGGAGGTGTAGGGGCAGGTGTAGAACTTCCTGCGGTTACAGGGAAAGATGCTGGGTGTGGTGGGGTTAGTGGGGAGTGTGGAGTGAATGAAGGAGTCACGGAGAAAGCGGTCCCTACGAAAGGCAGATCGGGGTGGGGAGGGAACTATCTCTTTGGTTGTGGGGTTGTATTGTAGGTGGCGGAAGTGGCAGAGAATGATGCACTGGATGCAGTGGTTGGTAGGGTGATATATGAGGACAAGGGGTATTCTTTCTTTATTTTTGTTGGGGGAAGTGGGCGTGAGGGCAAATGTGCGGGAAACGCAAGAGGTGCAGTTGATGACATTTTTGATCACTGGAGGAGAGATATTATGGCCCTTGAAAACCCTGGGATGTTTGGGAGTGGAACGCCCCATCTTGGGAGTAGATGCGGCGGAGGCGGAGGAATTGAGAATAGGGGATCGCATTCTTGCAGGAAGGTGGGTGAGAGAAGGTGTAGTCTAGGTAGCTTTGGGAGTCGGTAGGGTTGAAATAGACATAAGTTTCAAGGTGGTCACCTGAGATGGAGATGGAGAGGTCCAAGAAGAAAAGGGAGGTATCAGAGATGGTCCAGGTGAATTTGAGGTTAGGGTGAAAGGTGTTAGTAAAGTTGATGAGATAACAAGGTGTAGAGCTGGGTGAACACAGCAGGCCAAGCAGCAT